TTTTATGGTTGTGCTTTTTTACTTCAAGCCTAGGGTTGGTAGAGGATGGAGTCCCTAAACCCCGTCAACAACAACACATTTGTTTTCCCATACGCAACAAAGTAAGTCATCAAGTTATATCATTTATTACTATTCATCTCTTCACCAAATATATGATAAAAATAAAATATTTTTCATTTCCTGTAGATATTGCGTGAGGGGTATGGATTACGGCAAGAATCCAAGATTCAATGTTGCACTATACCGCAATCTATTGGATCACCTTGGTCTGGATGATGTACGTCGTACCTTTCAACTTTTCTGCTTTTAAATTATTTATATATTACGTTTTCATTAACCTGGTTGAATTTTATCTGCAGTTTGTCTGGAGACCATATTTGGGTTTAGGCCATGAACCAAACCCCGAGGATACAGCAATTTGGAGCGCCAAGACTGCAATCATACGGTTCAATGTTGTGGAGATGCACCACAGTGACCGTGTGAAGATGCAGTTTGGAATGCATCAAGAGATACCCAGTGATCTGACTTGTTTGTCCCTGTGGCATCTCAAAAGGGTTGACGCCCAATAGGGTCTTACCAATTGGAAAGACTTTGCTCCAGAATGGTGTAAGATGTGGCAGAGGCGCCACCGACATGTCTTGCAATTCCCAGTTTTCCTTAATCATGGTAATATGCGACACACATATCAGTATTTATCTTGGTACAGATCGGTTAGTACCCCTGAAATACACGTGTCTCATCCAAGGTATTTGGTTTACCCACGAACACAATGGGCACAACCCTCATTTCTCCAACAACAAACCCAACACACATCAACCTCCCACCAACCCCTCAGACGAAACAGAACCACAAACACCCAACCACAATCACCACCACAATACAATTACACCCACATGCCCCACAACCAACCACAATCACCACCTCAGTACCAATACCCCCATATGCCTCACACCTAACCGCAATCTCAATCACAATACCAACATACCCGTATACCCCACACACAATTTCAGTCTTCTGCATATCCCAATATGGGCCCCTCAACATCTAACCTTAACCCTGATCTGGGAATGTCGGAAGATTATGAACCAATCGATCCAACTTACCATCGACCACAATATCACCAAACCACCCAACATCCTCAATACCAAACACCCCAAGATCCATTTCCTTTCTACCCCCCGTACTCAGACGACCAGTGCTACAGACCAACCATGGAACCCCACCCACCGCCAACACAGCCAAACTTTGAGGGTATGGGTAACCGACTGTACCAAAGCGGATCTTCTAGATATGAAGATCTGATTGATTTCATGGATCCGGAATGCATTGACTTCATTGGGCCATCGACCCTGTCACAGTAGGAAACATGACAAAACCCAGCACGAGAAAGGCGAGGACGGGGATGCGGAACCGGGGCTCATTACCGGGTTCCGGGGGACCACTGATTAATCTATTTTTTTATGTAATACTTATGTGTGTAATTATATTTTGTAAATAAAAAGTCAATTTTATTGATCCTATATCGAATACGTAACGCACCGCATTGAAGAAAAAAACGCGAAAATTGCCCTAGCAAATGCACTAAGGCGCCATCTCACTTGGCTTAGGGAAAGCCCTAAGCACCTAGGCGCCAAGTGAGATGGCGCCTCCCCTTAAAAAGTGGGTGTAGGCGCCAAGTGAGATGGCTCCTCTTTTGGGGAGTCATCTGAAACATAGTTATTTGCGTAATTTTTTTCCGAAACATAGTTATTTGCGATTTTTTTTTTAATACTTGGTTATTCCAAAAAAAATTCTAAATTTTATAAAGTTATTAAAAAATTTATTTGATAATAATTATAAATAAACTTTTAATTTTATTTAACACTAGAAATATATATATATATATATATATATATATATATATATATATATATATATATATATATATATATATATATATATATATATATTTTAAATTAAAGTAAAATATTTAAATAAAAGATAAGTGCAAAAAAATATTTCAAATATAAAAGAGATGTGAAAATTCAAATACAATAAAATATTTTTTGTTTTTCTCAAATTATAGCAATAAATGTAAGGACAAAATTTAAGTACAATTCTTTATGTGTGGTTCTTATTATTTTTCAATGAATATATGACAAGTATGCTTGAATATCATTTAAGGAGGGAAAATATGAGCAATTTGTATATGTGTAAGATGAAATTATATACTTGTCATATTTTCATTAGAAAATAGTAAGAACCACACCTAAAGAATTGTACCTAAATTTTATCCTAAATGTAACATTTGAAATAAATATTTTTAATCTTAAAGTAGTTCTTACATATTTTTCAAGTATAAGTCACTTTAAACTTATTTAAAATATAATATAGTATGCAACAATTTTTTTATGGTGTCTATATACTTTACTACTATAGTTTTTATATAATATCAAATAATATACTAATGACAAATAACAAAATATTACACAAAACAGATACGAGAATTCAAATACAATAAAATATTTTTATCTTATTTTAGAAAAAATGGTCTAACAAGTCAATCATTACTTCAACTATGTATATTCCTTTATATTAAAAATATTTTTCTCAAATTTCAAAAATAAAAGAGGTGTCAAATTCCAAACACAATAAAATATTTTTTGTTTTCCTAAAACTATAGCAATAAATATAGCACTTGAAATAAATCTTTTTAATTTTAAAGTAGTTCTTACACAATTTTTAAATATAAATCACTTTAAGTTGATCTTAAAAATAATATATTATGCAACAATTTTATAAAGTTCTACAAAATAGACATAAATTTTAAAAAGTTATTGAAAGTTTTATTTGATAATATTTATAAATAAACTTTTAATTTCATTTAATACAAACACTACAAAAAAATTCTCATTTGCGACGTGAATTTCACGTCACAACTCAAAAAATCACGTCACAACAAATGATTAGCGACGTGAAGGATCACGTGGCTGGAGAGAGGGTGACAAGTTGTTTGTGACATGATTTCCATGTCACAAAGTTGTGACGTGAAAATCATAAAGTTGCTTTATTTGCCACGTGATTTTCACGTCACAAAGTAGTGACGTGAAAGTCATGTCACTAAATCAAGTTGCGACGTGATTTTCACGTCACAACTTGTGACGTGAAATTCACTTCACTAATATTTATCTTTTTTTATTTAAATATAATAACAAAATTTGTTTTTCTTTGCATAATTAGTTAAATTAATAATATTAATTAATAAATTCATTATCATAAAACAACTTTGACACCAACTTTTTTAAATTTCTGTTTTAAAATATATATATATATATATATATATATATATATATATATATATATATATATATATATATATATATATATATATATATATATATATATATATATATATATATATATATATATATATATATATATATATATATATATATATATATATATATATATATATATATATATATATATATATATATATATATATATATATATATATATATATATATATATATATCAATTTTATATATAAAAATTGAATTAATTTATAAATTAACAGAATGTTCTAACCTCTTCTTTAATCTCCTTCAAACAATCTTCTTCTTTAATCTTTTTCTAAACTCTTCAATGTTCTTCAATTTTGACAAAACAAATTGAACAAAAATTAGTATTAATAAACATAATAAACAATAAACTAAATTATATTAATATATTGAAATTATATCATATAATATAATTACCGGTATCAATAATATTGTAGCTTTGGAAAAATTTTGAAGAAATTTAGTGGAAGATTTGAGATGATTTGAGGAGGAGAAGAAAATAGAAAAGAGAAGACTGTGAACAATGAAACTGGAATATGGATATGGAGCTGTGCACGCGTTTGTATATACGCCACGTAGCGACGTGAAAATCACGTTATAACCTTGTCACGTGATTTTCACATCGCAACACACATAACGGTCATAAAATATTCGTTCTCTCTGCAATACACTGTAACTTGTCAAGTCAAAACCAAATAAATTCCACCCCTTAAAAGTTGCGACGTGAAAAGCACGTCACAACTTAATTTTTAAAACTTTTTAAAAATCCATCCATCTGAACGTTACAGCTTTTGTTTTGCTTTTATTTTAACTTTTATCTAGCGACGTGAGTCCCACGTCGCAACATATTTCATTTTTTTTAAAAAAAGAATCTCTACATCTGAATGTTATTTTGATTTTTTTAATATATAAATTTATAGTGACGTGATTATCACGTCGCAACAGCCTTTTTTTAGCCACGTGATAATCACATCACAATTTTATATCACTGGAGAACACATTTCTTGTAGTGTAAAAATAAATACATATATTAAATAAATTAAAGTTAAATATCTATATAAAAGATACGTGCAAAAAAAACATGAGAATCAAAAGAAAACAAAAAAAAAAATCACTTTATAGATGTGTAAGTTTGTAAACATAAATTACGGATATCACTCTCAATTTAATTGCATGTATTTTCTTTCAAATGAAATGTAAATTTATCTATGTGATTAATTTATATTATTGTCTCTATTATAATTCACAAAACAAGTTTGTAATATAAATTTAGTAATCATATTTTGTCAAAATTAATTTTTAATATATTTAAAATTCAATAAAATAAATAAATAAATTAATTTACAAATGCGCATCACGCAAGTCTTAATCTAATTCTAGTATTAATTAAATAGATATCCTATTCTAGAATACACTAATATTCTAAGAAATATTCTATATACATATATAAATATATAATTATCAACACGACAAATTTGGGTTATGTGGAAAAAATATAGTATGGAACTAATAAAACATGTGTGCCCCGATCAATTCTTACAGTGTGAAATTATGAATAAAGTAGGGCACCGGGTGCAGAGACAACAACCTCGTTTCAAATTTCTTAATATTGTGGCTGAAAAACCTGAGTTTTTGGAGATGGTGAAGAAAAATAGGAAAACTGCAGAGACATGAAAACTGATGTATCTTTTATGGAGAAAGTTGAAACATCTACAACCTATTCTCAGAGGCATGAATAGGCACGTTTCTGCAGGTGCAAAAAGGATTGATGAGTACAGAGTAAACCTCACTAATGCTCAACAAAGTCTAGTAGGTGATGGTTTTAATCATGGACTGATCCAAGAAGTCAAAAGATGGACTGATATGGTTCTGTAGGCGAATGAGGAGGAAGAAAACTTATTGATGCAGAAGGAAAAAACTATGTGGCTGCAACTTGGAGACAACAATAACTCATACTTCCATGCAATTGTCAAGGGTCGAAATAAGAAAAATGGTATTCACCGGATCGTGGATGCTAATGGTGATATATTGACAAACTTTAAGGAGACGGAGAAGTAATTGTTGAGATACTATGGTGATCCGGTTGGCAAAAAAACTTAGGAGCTGCTCCATGTGGACATTAATGTTTTGAGAAAAGGCCCACAATTACATAAGAAATTCCACCATGAGCTAACTCAACATGTTACTGAAACAGAAGTGTGTCAAGCCCTCAAGAGCATTGGTGATACAAAAGCACCGGGAATAGATGGTTTTAATGCAAAAAAGTTTAAAACTACTTGCAGAATCACAACAGATGATATTATGAAGGCTATGAAGGTTTTCTTTGAGAAAAATAAAATTTGTGCTGCAGTGAATAGTGCATTGGTGACACTGATCCCAAAGTCACCAAATGCAAAAACCATGAAGGATATGCGCCCAATAGCCTACTGTACAACGATTTACAAAATAATTTCAAAAATCCTTACGTGAAGACTTAGTAAAGTGAACAACGAGATGATGGATGATAGTCAGTCGGCTTTTCTGCCTGAAAAAGTAATACATGACAATATTTTGATGGCACATGAGTTATTAAGGGGATACAATAGAAAACATATTTCACTAAGGTTAACTATACAAATGGATATTCAAAATGCATACGATACGGTGGATTGGTTTGCATTGGAAACAATTCTCGTGAGCTAAATTTCTCGGTGAGATTCATAAAGTGGATTATGGTATGCGTAACTATTGTATCATATCATTACTCCATCAATGGGCATGTTATGGACCTCTTGAAAGCGAAATGAGGATAGCCGCAAGGCGATCCAATCTCTCTGATGCTGCTGTTTGTTCTTATTATGGAATATTTATATAGATGTATGAAGAATTTAAATAAAACTACTAATTTCAATTATTACCCACGATGTGAAAAATTGCAAATTTTTAAATATAATATTTGGATAAAGTTTTTCCTTTAAAAGTAGATAGGATTGAAAAGGATTTGGGAAAATTTAGTTGCTCATAATTTTTTCCAGTGCATTCTTGTTTCGTTTATAATATTCTTTGATGCACAACAATCGTTCATAACCATCTACACGGACGACTATCCGACATGGCATTGCACAAATTCAACATTTGTAACTCAGATTCTAATATCTGCAATATCCCTAAATCTCCATGATCAGCGACAAAGGCTGTATTTTCTTCATAAGGTTCATCCTTAGAGTCATGATTTTCACCAGAAACATGATTATTTTTAGAAGCTTGTCCTCCAGAACTTACGTCTTCAGAGTTTTCCCTTCTAGAAGCATGATCACCACCATATTCAAAATCTAGATCAGAATCAAATTCACCATCTGAGTCATCTTTAGAGTCTCCAAAAGATTCTTCATCCTCTGACTCTGACTCACCTTCAGAACTTTCAAGTTTTGACTCATCTTCAGAAGCAGAATCTTCTTCAGATTCTGACTCATCTTCTGATTCTTCTTCAGACTCAGAATCACCTTCAGATTCTGACTTGTTTTCAGCTTCAGGAACCTTAGATTCTGACTCATCTTCAGAATCTTCAGCGTCATCTTCTGATTCTGACTCATATTCAAACACTCTTTTAGAGTCAGAATATTCAGAATAATCTTCTTCCCCTTCAGAATCAGAAAATGGCAATCTCACAGGTTCTTCATCAGATTAATAAGCCATTAATAGCACATGTTCATCATCTGAATCTCCTCTGGCTATTTTTGCTTCTTCTTTGTTTGACCAACAATCTTTAGCAAAGTGGTCAAACCTATTACAACAGTAACATTGGACTATTCTCTTGTCTTCTTCTTTCCCTTCTGATGTTTCTTTTCATCAAAATAGAAGACTTATGACTTCCGGGAACTACCACCATGTCTCTTCTGCTTCTGGTCTTTCTTGACAAAAGAAGCCTTCAGAGCCTGCTCAACTTCCCTCTCAGAATTTCTTTCAGTCAGACACAACTCTTACGCCTCTAGACTACTTTGCAGCTCTTCTATTTTCATGGTGTCCAGATCTTTAGAATGTTTAATTGCTATCACAATGTAATCAAATAGAGAAGTTAAAGATCTCAATACCTTCTCTATGATTACTTGTTCAGAAAGGATTTCTCCACCAACTTTCATCTCATTAGTGATTAGAATCACTCTAGAGATGTACTCAGAAACCTTCTCGTTGTCCTTCATGTTGAGATTCTCATATTTCTTTCTTAGGGACTGAAGCTTCACCTTCTTCACTGATGTGTCACCACTGTAACATCTGACAAGTGTGTCCCGCACAACCTTTGTTGTTTTAGAGTCAGTAATCTTCTCAAACACATTCGCATCCACACACTGATGGATGTAGAATAATGCTTTCTAATCTTTCTTCCTTATAGCATTTTGCGTTGTCTTCTGTGCCTCTGTCGCGTCTACTGTTAATGAATCATAGCCATCAGTGATAAGATCTAACACATCTTGAGAACCGAATAACACACACATCTGGATCTTCCAACGATTCCAATTTTTTCCATCAAACATTGAAAGCCTTGAACTGATATCGCCATTTCCGTTCATCTTCAACCTTATGCAGTTCTCTCAAAACTCACTAACACACAGTGTTTTCCAAATCCCACAGAATCAGAAAAATGTGATTCTCAATCACACAACACCTCACTGTTCATTAGTATTTCCCGTGTTTCCCTGTAGATTTCGAATCAGCCTCTGATACCAATTGTTGATGCACAAAAGAGAGATGAAAGACAAAATAAATATATTAAATGACGGCTACAAAATGAGGAGTAATAAATACATTGACCTACCTACTACTAGGTTATTTATACACAAATATTAGGGTATAATAAAATACTAAAATATCGTATAACAGACTTAGTCAACAAGACATTCCTAAAATATAAATTATTTTCAATACTTTGTTGGTATTGTAATATATCTCTGCTTTACATTTCGATATATGTCATTACCTGGTATAGCTTATGTCAATAGATTTAATTCGTGGAGATCGGTTTACATTTGGACGTCAGTTCCTGCTATTTGTTACTCGGTTCTTGCTTATATCTTTGTTAGTGAGTCTCCAATGTGGCTTCTAATGCAAGGAAGACATGAAGAAGCTATGGAAATGCTAACAAGAGTTTCTTCATTAGATAATGGTAATGATTTGAAAGTAGTTTTAATAGAAGTTCCAGTGAATAAACAAAAGGCTTCGGTTTTCCAAATCTACTCATCGATAGCGGAGCTAATTGGGAGAGGTTTTGTTGGCGATTTTGTATCACCAATGTATTTTAGTAGTAATGTGATTTCTAAAGGCCGATGTAATTATGCGTTAAGTTCGGAGACGAGTTAGGGAAGTGCGGAGTGCACGCTCGTCGAGCCAATGCATAATTGAATATGAATAATTGAAACGGGGTTCCAAGGGGCGAAGCCCCTGGCGGGGTGCGGGGCAACGCCCCGTTGGGGTTCCAAGGGGCGAAGCCCCTGGCGGGGTGCGGGGCAGCGCCCCGCGGGGTCCAAGGGGCGGAAGCGTTTTTTTTATTTTCTTCTGTGTGCGAGACCGAGGCCGAACGACTCCTTATATAGGAGAACAATAATTGAAAACGAAGAGACATATTTGTTCAAAACGAATATGTCAGTTGGGAAACAGTTATGTCCGTTGGGGAAAGGATTCAAAAATTTTGCACCCCAGCCAGGGGCTTCCGCCCCTTGGACCCCGCGGGGCGCTGCCCCGCACCCCGCCAGGGGCTTCGCCCCTTGGAACCCCAACGGGGCGCTGCCCTGCACCCCGCCAGGGGCTTCGCCCCTTGGAACCCCGTTTCAATTATTCGTATTCAATTATGCATTGGCTCGACGAGCGTGCACTCCGCACTTCCCTAAATCGTCTCCGAACTTAACGCATAATTGCATCGGCCTTTAGAAATCACATTACTACTAAAATACATTGGTGATACAAAATCGCCAACAAAACCTCTCCCAATTAGCTCCGCTATCGATGAGTAGATTTGGAAAACCGAAGCCTTTTGTTTATTCACTGGAACTTCTATTAAAACTACTTTCAAATCATTACCATTATCTAATGAAGAAACTCTTGTTAGCATTTCCATAGCTTCTTCATGTCTTCCTTGCATTAGAAGCCACATTGGAGACTCACTAACAAAGATATAAGCAAGAACCGAGTAACAAATAGCAGGAACTGACGTCCAAATGTAAACCGATCTCCACGAATTAAATCTATTGACATAAGCTATACCAGGTAATGACATATATCGAAATGTAAAGCAGAGATATATGACAATACCAACAAAGTATTGAAAATAATTTATATTTTAGGAATGTCTTGTTGACTAAGTCTGTTAGAGGGTATTTTAGTATTTTATTATACCCTAATATTGTGTATAAATAACCTAGTAGTAGGTAGGTCAATGTATTTGTTACTCATTATTTTGTAGTCGTCATTTAATATATTCCTTTTTTGTTTCATCTCTCCTTTGTGCACCAATAATCAGTATCTAGAGCTTCGGTTCGAATCCATGGGGAAACACGGGAAACACGAGTGAGCAGTGAGGTGTTGTATGATTGAGAATCACATTTTTTCTGATTCTGTGGGATTTGGGAAACACCGTGTGTTAGTGAGTTTTGAGTGAACTTCACAAGGTTGAAGATGAACGGAAATGGTGATATCAGTTCCAAACTTCCAGTGTCTAATGGCAAAAACTAGAATTGTTGGAATATTCAGATGTGTGTGTTGTTCGGTTCTCAAGATGTGTTAAATCTTGTCAACGATGACTATGTTTCATTAGCAGTAGAGGCGACAGAGGCACATAAGGCAACACAAAAGGCAATAAGGAAGAAAGATCAGAAAGCATTATTCTACATCCATTAGTGTATGGATGTGAATGTGTTTGAGAAGATTGCTGACTCTGAACAATAAAGGTTACGTGGGACACTGGTCATATATTACGATGGTGATGCATCAGCGAAGAAGGTGAAGCTTCACTCCATAAAAAAGCAATATGAGAATCTCAACATGAAGGACAACGAGAATATTTCTGAGTACATCTCTAGAGTGATTCT